AGGTTGGAGACCACTGCTGTAGATGATTATAGGTTGAGAAGAGAGTCCTATTTAGTGAGGCCTTTATCAAATAGCCAACATCAAACTTTAAAACTGGTGGAAACAAAGTGTAGTTTGAAATGTGGCCACTGGGTGGTGTGAGAGACTGTCTGCAGTGATGTATTGGTCTGCAAATAAACACTTTTAAACAGTTGCTTAAGTCTTGTAAATTAATGGGGAAAGGAGGTTTTTGCATTTATATGTTAATGAATAAAACACATTCACACCAGTGGCAAATAATTGCAGACATCTGGCTAATTAATGATTTGTCCTGTTGTTGTGATGAATTACCAGTTGTTGTTGTTGTTGTGTTGTTTGTATCCCACCTTGCCCTTTAAATCTGAATCCTGGAGCTTCTCTCTCATTGAATTGACCACCATTTTTTTTTTTTTTTTTTTGTCCAATCCAACAGCCCGCTCTTTGGCAGCCACGAACCTTGCTGATGATGCGTCATCCCAACACAGCTCTGACCAATCAGACACAAGGACTGAACACTCTGATGAAGATTTGGGAGAAAAAGCCCCTAAACGTGTTACTAGCGTCAAGGCAACCAAGAAACCTGCCGCTGCTAAGACAGAGGTAGGGACAATGTAACACACACACACACACACACACAACACACACACACACAGAGACAGTGTGGTCAGAATGAATGAAGGATAAATTATTTTATGGTTTTCAGTGCTGTATATTTTACCTAAGAAGAAAGTAGTATGTGTTACGAACAATTTTTTTTAACAGACTGAATTATGTAACGTACAGTGCCTTTATGAAAACTCCATGTTGATGTGTTTTCCACATTATAAAACATTTTTAGTGGCTCAGTAATAACTTCTACGTTTAGCAAGAACAGATCCATTTGCAAAAAAGTTTTGATTGATAATCTTGGTTGTAGGTGACAAATATTGCAGTACTTCCATATTGCAGTAGTTCAATATTCAAAATAAAATATAATTTCAGTGGGGGAAAAGAATTTGATGTCTGTGATAATTTTAACGTAGCAAAGAACAGATTTTTAAAAAGATGCTGAAATATCCAGACTTT